AGGTTAGATAGATGTCATCCCTAGTAGCAGTAGAGTTCCTTGTGTAAGAGTTTGTCCAGGGTAGTACTGCCCCCTTATCTAGTTCGGCCGCCAAGTAATATCAGCATTAATCGCACCCCTCATGAAAGAATGGCATAAGTGGAGTTACGACAAAAATGTTTATTGCTCCATTAGATACAGAAAAATATAACCCACATCCTCTCCAATTCTTGTAACTCTATCGATTGTAGCTGTAGTTACAAGAATTGGAAAGAATGTGGCTTAGCTAGCAGGAAAGACCGTAGTGACCCAATGTGCAAAAAACACAAATTGTTTCCACACAAAATATTTCCTCAAAACTTTTTTCGTTATCGATGGCAATTCAATGAATTCATAATATTAGTAACATAAAAATCATTGGAATACGTCAAGGTTAAGTGGTATAATGGTATTTTATGCAATGAGAGTTCTTATAGTCGAGCAAGTAATAGGTACAACATTTTAAGAACTAATTATGTAATTATAGCATACGACACTTTTTCTACGTGTAAATAAAATAATGAAACACAACCAATATTTAATGTACACACGTCAGCACATTAAGCTACACATTGACGTATCTTGTTCCGTTGCACTGGAGGTGATTTTCGAACAAAAATGTTTAGTCCGATGAGCCGTTATCCGTACATATTGTTTGACCAATCAAGATAGAGCGTTTGAGTAGCTTAATTGATGTTATAAAAATAAAATACGACGTTCTTTTTTTGAAATTTATTTTAGTTTTTCAGTTCAGTAGCGAGTCCCATAGACAACAAAATTTTGATTGAGAACTAAAAAGAGCGCCTTTGTGATATGGTTTAGAGCCTATGCACGCGGCATATTTTATACGTGTCGACGACGCGAGTATGTATCGCGGGTTTTGATTAGAGATAGTTTTAATTTTAGTTTTGTTTGTAAAAAAATTAAGTGAATGTAACTTATTTTTTTAAATGAAGCAACTACATGAAATTCTATATAGCCTTCTTGCTTGCAACGCGATGTTTGCGCGCGTTTAAATCGATTCACTACTGCGCGTCTCCGGCGTGTGTACGCGCAGTTGACGCGCGTTTACGGCGCGTATAAAATACGCTGTGTGCAACGACTCTTATGAAATTATAATTGACAGATTAATACATTTCCGCTTTTTGTACAGCGAAGGGTGGCTTCACAATTATTTCGGTAAAATTGAAATAATTTTTCTTTAAGAGTTTCACGCACCTTTTTATTCTCTCGTTTCGTAATTAACAGCCTCAAAGGTTTCAATCAGTCTGTATGTCGGCTATTTTTAGGCTCTCAGATATAACCCCCATCTATTCCCGAAGTTACCCTTTCGAGAACGACCTTTTTCTGTTTGCGAAGTACTCACAGCTACAATACGAGTGACTGTATAAAGTATGTATGGTCTCGTAGTAATATCTACGCATAACGAGCTTAAATCGTTTTTATGTAGCCCAGTAAAAAATGTGTTCTAGATTGAAATTCTCGATATAATTAAGTATTTATGTAGTAATTTTATATTGTTATTTTATAAATTCAAAATATTTATTTGAAGATAATATCATGAATGTAATTCCAATACTAATGTTGGACGTAATATTAGCTAAGGATTTTATAATTCGTGTAATAAAATTTGTATTGAATAATTTTTTTTTTTTTTTTTTTTTCAATTCAATATAAAGTTAATTACAGTTAAAAGCGACATTTGTAGCCAAGCCTGGTAGCTGTAAAGTTACCTAACTGGGTGACGAAATACTTTCATATATTTATCATAGATGGCGCTACGGCTAAAATGTCGTTGAAAACCAAATACAAAAATCCGGAAAACATGGAAAAATTCGTGAGGTCCGCGCTGGTTCGATTCGTATAATTCTTATATTCCTTATACTCGTTTACTTGTGTAGTTCGTATACATTAAAACGCAGCACAGCACAATTATATTATTTGTCACCGTGTATTTTTTATTTATAAAAGCCGTGGTAGCCTAATGATTTGACCTACCGCCTCTCAAGCAGAAGCCGTGGGTTCATATCCGGGCGCACACCTGAGTTTCGCGGAATTTATGTGCAAAATTTACCATGAGCTTTTCGATGTAGGAGAACATCATGATGAAACCTGTATGTCGACGAAGGTTCACAATACTCGGAAAACGTGTAAAGTCCCCAACCCGCATTGGGCCAGCGTGGCGGACTATGACCTAAACCCTCGCCTGAGAAGAGAACCGTGCCCAGCACGCATCATACCATTTATAAGCGTTGCTTATAAATGGGATGATGGTGATATATTTTCTGTATCTACTGTAATCTATGTTGAAGAATAAATATACATTTTTTTTCACATTTTTTCTGTTATATTGACGCTTAGAATAATAACGCATAGAATGATAGTTTCATACTTAGAATAATAACGCATAGAATGATAGTTTCATATCAAACGAACTGTCACAAGTGAGGCAAAAATCAAATTCATGTAGGCTAGTTTTAGTAGTAGGTTAATTTTCGGTTTTAGTGAATATTTATATAAAAATACAAGTTGAAACGCGTTACTTCCCTGTGGAATGTGATGTTAGTATCTATTTTATGTTTGTCTGACGTATTTTTACTCATTTACCGCACATTTCATCATTTTTAGCCAAAATTCTTGATCTGTTCGCAGTGCAAGTTGACCTTGAGCACTGAAGGCCCGCCCGCTCGTGTACGCCCTTTTGGCGCGCTTCAATTTGCCTCACTTAGCGTGTGCGGACTAGGTTTCTATGCGTTATTATTCTAAGTATGGACGCATCATGAATATTTGTTTCTTTATACTTTACTTACTTTTACTTTGAGTATTCAACAGTGAAATACTAGTAAAAAGTTATTTGTAAAACAGTTCACCAATCGGATACTGTAATTTACCGGTAACTATTCACTTTCGGTCAAACGTCACTGGCAACTATAATAGTTGCCAGTGACGTTTGACCGAAAGTGAACATTTTGACAGTTACAGAAGCTTATAGCTACCAATAACTGTTCAGTGGATTTTGAATTTAATTACATATATTTTAGGGAAAATTCAGTCTAATTACAAATGAAGTTATACAATAATGATGATTATCCAAACTCGATAAAAAGATTTTCACGTTTTGTTCCGTGTATACGTAAATCACAGACATTCACAAATTGTGCTCGCTATGGCGTCAACGAAAAATTTGAACGAAAAAACAACACAACTCAATAAAAACCTTGTGGGAAAAAAGTAAAAGACAAGCATGAATGAGGACGATCGAGAATAAGGTCAAAGAGGAAAAGTTTTTACTACACCAACACAAGCTCTAGAATCTGAGAGCAAAATATTTTTACAACACATAAAGGACACCTACCCTGCAATACGTATAATATTATTGACATTTATGTGATACCCGCGAATAAGATGTCGTGTCGGTTTAGCGCTAGGCGTCTCAATTTGCGTCAGAATTCTTGAGGCCACTTTAACAAGCTGCTTTCAAAAGCATCTTACACCGGCAAGTTATTTTGCCAAGCACCGAAACGTCTCAAGTATGCAGGAAATTCCAGTAGATTTCACTCCCGAAAATCGCCATAATGTTGCTTGTTATTCAGAAGCACTTTAACTAATCAACGCTGTTTTATAATGTCTTGGTTCATTCTTGCATTTGCCACTAATTTTCAGAATAAGTTTCCCAAACTGTAAATATTGTCTATTTATCATATTTCCTCAGTTTTACCTATAAAAATTCTTTCCTGTTAATTAAATGGGGACGTAGACGTATCGATCTTCATAAATTATGACGGAGGGGAGTTTCGGTATCTATCTAACTCAGGAATAATTTCAATTGATGAACCGCAATGGATGTTTAGATTGTATTGATGGCTTCATACTTTTTTTTATGGAAATTGACTTTTGTTTTATTATAGAGACTTGGACGATTGATTGAATCCATTTTTCTCGAGTGAAAATAAAATGAATTTAACTGGCGTCTTTTTGCCTAATTACACGTAACTAATGTAGGTACTATGTCCGCTGTAAGCACATGGGATCAATTTTGTAGGAAACCTAATTATTTTCTACGTATTCGATCTTTGTATTAATAATTATAACAAACTAGTGGAGTAATTTCGCATAAAAATTTTGAATATCATGGTGGTGAAACATTTTTATATTTACCGTGGTAAGAAATCTGTTACTAGTGATAATCATTTAGTGAATAACCACGAAAGTCTTAAAATCTATATTTTTATATTTAATCAAATTAATTACAATTATTAAAGTGACATCTCTAGTCTGCTGCTGGTACCTGACTGAGTGAAGAAATAGATTTCTCACAGATGGCGCTACGCCAAAAAAGTCGTTAAAACCAAAACAAAGATCTGCAACAAATACATATAAAAAAATCGTAAGGTTCGCTGAATCGTTCCGTGGCTTAGTTGGCATAGCGTCTAGCTTAGCTTAGGTTTGCTAGAAGACGCTGGTTCGAATCCAGCCGGATCGAATGATTTTTGTCTGTATTCGATCTTTGTATTAATAATTATAACGAACAAGTGTAGTAATTTCACAATATATTTATGTTAATTAAGTAATTACAACCTCAATTATATCTAAATCAGGTTACACAATTACAAAAATAGCGGCACAAGACAGTAAAATATAAATAGCAGTGGCGAGGCGTCCACATAACTCGATTCCCGCCGGCTTGCCTAAAACTTTTCAATACGTATTTACTATATATGGTACACAATTTAAGTGAAGAATAAGTTAATCAGTGAAATGAAGGGTACTATATATTATCATCTTGTGTGATAATAAATATTTGCTTAATATAAGCAAGGCGTCTTTTTAACGGCAAAAGAAGTATTTGTTAAGGTAGGTGTATTTGTTTAGGCCGATTATTAGCACAATTTGTTTAATGCCTACTCTTAACAATCCCTAGTTTATCTATAAAGTTCATCCGTCAAGTCGTTAACCTAACTATGTATATTGTATTGTTACAGATAAAACAAATATAATGGCTTCTGCTGTAGCAACCAAAAAGGTACGTCCGTAATTACGTATTTACCAAATACACTGGCCCTTCCTTGTCCCCTCCCACTAGTTGTCTGCTTAATCCTTTTATCCGTTACAGATTTTATGATAGAATGAAGCACCCAAAAAAGAAATACACAAGGCGAAACACAAAAGAACACTGTTTCCTCAATACACGAAGATATAGTGCAACGAGAAAAATCCAAGAATCCCGAATCGATTTCTCATATATTCTTGTACCTGTAGTGTTCTTATTCTAACATTTATTCTGTGTCATGTACATTTCTTAATTAATCTTTGCATTCAACGTGATAAAACATCTCACTGAGTGATAAATATTATGTGTGAGAAAGTTTATTAAGACGAGTGTTCCATTTCGCAGGTAATTTTTTGCACAAATAAATTAAAGTAAATGAGTAAAGCCCCAAGATGTAGCACTAATTTTTTTAGGTCTTTGTTAAGGAGTATAAACTTTGCCAAATTTTAACCGACTTCAAAAAAAGGAGGAGGCTCTCAATTCGACTTTAGGTTTTTTTTTAATATGTTACGCAATAACGCGGTATTTGTAAACCGATTTTGATGATTCGTTATTTGTTAGAAAGAGGGTACTTCAGAAGTGGGCCCATTTAAATTTGAACAAAATATTTCACCTTTAAGGCTGGCAAACTAGGGCATGAATGACTTTTGAGGTTGGTTGTTTTATTACTCTGTACTGAGATTATTACTGTACTTGATTTGCAAATTGTAAATGAGGCTATCAGCGCAAAAGCGGTGAAAACCACGTTTAATTTTTTTTCTACAAAACTTTTTTATACAATTAAAGTACATAATTATTTTATATTATTATGCTTTTTTTATTTAGATAAAAAATATATATGTAAGTCATATATGATTGCTTTATTTAAAATGAATTTGGTTAATTTATGATATTAATTCGATTCAATATAATAAAAACATATTGCTTTTAATATTCTGTTAAAATTAACCTTTGTTGAATGAAGTTCCAAGCTTTGAACTGTAATATTTTATTCATAAGGGATTTAAAACAACATAAAAGTGTAATACAAAATAGAACTATCCTTTTGAAACAAAACTTTCGACTACTTTAAATTTTATTTTAATAGAATTTTCCCAGCTGTTGTCGCTCTGGTTGCGATGAATAGCAGGATATATCATTCCCGGCCCTCCCTTGGTCATTAACGAATCTACGCGAAGTGGAGGACGAGACTCGAAAAAGTACATTACTGCTATGAAAGAGTAAAGTCTGTCGCCTTTATGTCGAATATATGAGAGATGTTTTTTATTTCACCCAGGTAAACCGTCCGATGAAACATTTTTATACGAATTCAAATAAAATCACGGAATGTTTTAACATTTTTAAAAACTGTTAGCAATGTTATGCAAAACAATGCAATACTCATAATGTATGGATAGTGTGTAAGCTGTAGCGTATCAAAAAGGTGTTACCATACTTCAGCTTAAAGTTGCTAGGTCTACAGTATAGCCAGACAGACCAGCCAGTTAAGCCGGGCATTTGGGTAAAAAGGCCGGACATCCTACGTTTTTAAGGATTTTGTGTCGTAGTACATGACATTTTTTTTAATGTAAAACCTGGCATTTTTGATATTTATCAAAACATCTTCATAAATTCTAATTATTTTTTTTATAATATCAAGTGACGGGACGAACAAGTTGTACTCCTGGTGGTAAGCATCACATGTACCCATTTACAGTACCGTTCAGGGCTTTAAATTGCAAAGATCTGAAGAGTACTGCCACTGCGCCCGTCACCCTGAGACATAAGTTGACAAGTCCCATGTGCCTGTAATTTTACCCTTCAAAACCAGAACACAGTAATGCTGACATTACTGCTTGGCGGCAGAAATAGATAAGCTGGCAGTTCGTCCAGGGAACCTGGATGAACTCTTTCAAACGGAGCTCTACTGCTACCAAATTATAATTAAAATTTATATGTTAAAATAAATATGTTTTAATTTATTCTAATTTCCATTATTAATTATAATAAATTTAACTTAATAAAAATTCATATTCTTGTTCTTCCTGCCCTTATCCCACGCTAGGTGGGTCGGCACAACATGTATTTTTCTTCCACTCTCCCCTATCAGCCGTCATTGTTATACTCACACCTTTATTATCCATGTCATCTTTCACACAATCCATCCATCTTTTCATATTGTTATAATAAAATAATTTGTAAAACAATGTAGCGTAAATTGGAATGTTCCTTTATAAAATTGAAAATAGGGTATTTAATTAATAACTTTTGTAACTATAGTGAAAAAATAAATATACGCGATTTAAATCCGGAAAAATAGTTTCATTTCCTATGTGTAACAATCGCCAAAACCTAAGGACTCGATAAATCAGTCTTCTTTATTAATCAATTAATATTAATTATCTAATATAGCAACAGCTGTACAACGAAATTAAACTTAAAATTAAACAAAACAACACCAAACTTGGTCTAATATAGAAAGACGAACAAAAGCCAGAACAAAAGACGAAAAAAAGTCCAATTTGACACCGCATAATTTTATCGGACACGCATCCAAAAAGCCTCACTATGTCCGGCTTTATCCGGTTGCCTGGCAACGCCACTCCAGCTGGTGCTTGTATAATACGCATGAAAAAAATTCAAATACTGATTCTTGTTTCACCGTAAAAATTCTGAATTCTCAAAATTGATAACTGGAACTGATTTTTTCGTCAATTTTCATATTGGAAATGAAAATATTTTTCGAATTTAAATCGCGTATATTTGTTTTTTCAAACAAAACCAACGTTTCGGGCCCTTTACAGGCCACGTTTGACTGATTTTCATATTATTTACATAACAACAAACTCCAGAAATGTAGTCATATATTATTACACTCTGTATAAGTTCTTAACCACGTTTTGGTTCACATAATTATGCTGAAAACTGCTAGCGTGGTATTCTAGCGAACCCGTCTACTAGTACCTACTTATACTGAAGCTTGGAGAGTCTAGGTCTAGCTCAAACTTTTAACAAACGACGTACTTTTAAAATGACGTGTTAAAATATTTATGTGTTTTCGGATTATAGCTTGTAATTAGTAATTACCAAAAAGAATACAAAAAGAGCTCGTCATTTTGTACATCAAACGTGATATCACGCATTAACAATAAACATGACTTTAAAAATTTCGTCACATTTTTACGTAACAAGGACCATGCAAAGTATTATAATTACGGCATGAATTTAAATGATCATTTTAAATTTGCAAAAGCACCAGGCAAAAAATCTAAACAGTCGCCCTTTTAATGATTGATCGTCTTTGTCTGAGACATACGATAAATTAAATCGATCGATATTTTAATATGTTCTGAGCTACGCAAAAAATGTTTGATTTGTATAAATTAACGTTGCTAGTTTTATTTTGGGCCTGAAAACTAAGACAAAAATAAAATTTAGATACTAATGTTTAAAACAAAGTAAATGTTGATTATATTTGTATACTAATATTATATAATTATAATACAATTTGACCTGTAAACATGTTTGGAAACAAACACATTGGCTTCTGGCACTCGCCGGCCGTTGCCGCAACAAGCTCGCTTCACTCGCCCAGCTCGTGCTGCTTTTTTATATGCTAATCTAACATAACCTAGTCAATAGTGGGCGCTATCAAGCAACCAAGATTTATTAGGAGATCAATGTCATAAATATACTGGTTATAAATGTCATCAATCGTTAAAAGAAAAAACCAATGATAAAAAAAGAGGATATTACTTTTGAATGCCAAATATTAATTTGGTATACTCAAATATAATAATAGTGGTACCTTGAATGCAGTTCATTTAGGTAACTAATATAGGTGGAACAATTAAGATATATATCAAACAAAAAAAAATATAGTTTATTTAAAAATCTGCATATTTACATTTTAGATCAATTATTTGTTTGAGGATCAAATAACATTATTCCAATAATACACATTGCTCGCAGAACCTATGAAACCTATGAATCTACATATGAAACCAAAGGGCTCATTTGGAGTGCGGGCGCCGCGCGCCCTTGGTCTTGGCGCCTTCCCTTTCACAATGACGAAGCGGCTACGAGCGGGTAGATCCACACGTCGAAATCATAAACAAACGTTATACGCTAGACCAAGCACTTTAAAGGTGCGAGCGGACCGAGCCAATATATCCACCCGCGCGCCGGGCGCTGATGCTGATGACGCACCTACTGGAGTACATAACGCGAAAACACTGAGTGCAGCTAGCAGCGCAAGACCGGTCGTTGTGGTGATCTCTAAAAGATGCCTCTGTCCAGCAGTGGACATCTTTCGATTAAAATTATGATGATAATGTATCAATGTTTATGTTACAAAGTAAATATAATCAAAAATAAATATTTACATTTATAGTACAATCATTATTATATACTCCGCCCTTAGGGCGCGTTCCCATTATGTCGCGATGACAGATAGTCATGCAGTTTAAAGTGTCGTGACTTGTATATTTAAATTAATTAATACATAGAACAGCACGTTTCACTGTCGATCATTACTTTTTTGACGCTACCATGACAGACTGTCGTGACAATGGGAAGAGCTAGAACGACAGTCGTCCGACGATAAATAAAACGTCACGATAAAAATGTGACGTCAGATAATCGCAGCTTCAAACGATTCTGTCGTGCAAACGACAAGGCGGGTGCCATGAACCGATAAATTGTCATCACGATCTAGTGGGAACAGCTAGATACGACAGTCGTTCAACGATAAAATAAACGTCCACGACACAGTCACGACAGATAGTTGTGATACGTGAACAGGCTAGACGCGACAGTCGTCCAGCGATAAATAAAATGTTACGATATAATGGGAACGCGCCCTTAAATTCAATTGGGGTAAGCAGAGACTTTCGATCGCCACTTAGACGATCCTGACAAACCTCTCTTGGCAATCAAAAAAAAGTCAATCTTTCATACAGGCCTTCTTAGAGTGGATGGCCATTTTTTGCAGT